CGTGCTCTTGCGCTTTCACGCGGGCGCACGGGGGCTGACAAGCAAAAGAACATCCAAGAGGTCAATTTTTTTCCACGCTTTGGTTTAGTGTGTGAAGAAACGCAGGACTTCTGAACATAACAAACTGCCTCGTTGAAAGGTATGAGATTGGCTCTCACTTTGTAAAATGTGTGCTTTAGCCAACCCTGTTGTGACTTGAGACGTTTCATACGCATGCGTACACATACACACACAGCTCCCCTTTTCTAACACCAGAATTTCCTTCACCTGGCGTATGGCGTTCGCTTCACGATAGTGGATGGCTGGCCCTTCTGTGGGGCGCTGCCCCTGCCACTGGGTTGACAACATCGCATGCGTGACACATGCAGGCTGTATGGTTAGTGTCGAATGGGAGCCCTGTGGTGTCGCAAGACAAAACTGAAGGTCCAGCTGGGCGCCGTCGTAAGTTTTTGACAAGCACAGTGGAGAAGAGTTTGTCCAACCAACAATCTTTCAAAGAAAGGTTTGAAGGCTCCCAGGCCGCTCAAAGTCAGATGGCCTGCTTGAGTTCCCATCCACAGCTTTGCGTGGTGGTGGGTCTTGCCTGGATTTGTGGAGGGCAGCATATCACTTCGTGTCTTCAGGAATGGGGGACAGAAGAAACTGCTTTAATCAAGGCACACCAATTTAAGTCTTTGTTTTTTCTGGAAGCCAGGCAAGTTGTCGGAGTGAACTTCAAACAGGCAAACGCCACTTGCTGTGTTGTGCGCCATTGGCAGCGGGCGGGGCAAACAGATGGGCGATACAAGATTTTTGAAATCAACCCTGATGCTGTTGCATCATGGTGGGATTTGCCATCGCTGCAGGGCGAAACCATTGGCAGCGCTGCAGCAAGTGTTGTTTCTTCTCAAGATGCAGAAACCTTGCGTGGCAATGTCAAAGTGGCAGTTGTTGTTTGCCCAGATTCAATAGTTTCTTTGGTGACTTGCAACCTTTGGTCAAAGATACCTTTTCTGGAAGTTGCGAGGGCAGAAGGGATCAGCCAATCCGCTTGGGTGGACAGGTGGCGACATCGGCGTGAACATGTTTTGCCTGTCTACGATGAACTATTTCCTAGAGGCAGGCCCTCCGAGCAAACAACTGTGGTGAACTTTGTTAACCGCGTGAAAGGGTGGGATGAGCTCCACGACCGGACAGCCTTGAAGCCAACGTTTTTTGATTCTTTGGCGTTGAATTTGCAACGTTGGGCGCCAGCAATTTTGTCCAGCCACGCAGCAGATGAGGGTCCTTTGCAAGATTCGATAGAGGCCTTGATGGATGCCAGTTTTTCTTTGTCTGCTGAAGGTATTTCACAAGACTTGATGGCTTTTGGACATGGGTATTCTTGTGGGAAAAAAAGAAACCAATATGCAGCTTGGGCTATGTTGAAAACCGTTTTGCTTTGTGACAACCTCAAGGACGCTCGGAAGCTCCGTGAAACCATCTTGCATGCAGGAGCGCTCTGCTTTCTTGCGTTGGCGTCGCAGTTGGAAGAGGTCTTTGCAGACAGAAGCGTGCCATCTGCGTCCACGATTTCTCGACACAGATACTTTGTTGATGTGGCCTTCATGCGGTTCATGAGAGAGCAGCATTCGGAACGGTTCCAATCCAGCAAAGCTTTGCAAAGCAGAGATGCAGTGCTATCTGAGTTGATCAACGTTGGCAGCTTTCATTATTTGATGACAGATGCGAGTCCACAGGGTGGCCAGGAATGGCAGCTGTCGCAAGCATCTTCTATTCCGGTTTCTGGTTTGCAGGCTGTCGGGAAAGCTGTTTTCCAATTGCGGGCCATGCGCTTTGCCGGCGTTGCAGGAGAGACAGACTTGACAGACACACACGCGGACAAATTGAAAAAGCAGGAGTGCTCGAATGTGATCCAAAAACATGTGGAAGAACACGTCTTCCCAGTAGCTGGACTTGGCAAGGCCGGGTTGTCCCTGCGCCAGAAGGTGCACTCTTTACTCCACCAAATCAAACTGGAAGTGGAAACCATGGAGGAGTTTGTAGAATATTTATCGTCTACAGTCAGCATCACCACAGACCAAGGGACGGAGGTTGGGATAGCTGAGCTCCCCAGCTTGGACCTGTCACAGTTCAGTCCCCTGGCCCAAGAAATTGACATAGAGTGCTGGGAAGAAAGCGAGGCAAACCCAGACCCTACACTTGATAATATGGAAATCACCATTGATGAAGGTGACAATGGTGACAGTGCGCACCATGGCCCCGCCCGGCCCGGCGTTGGTCCAGCGCCAGCGGCTGGAGCAGTTGTGGCCCACCGTGCAGGGTCTAATCTGCCGCCTGGTCATTACCTTTGGCCATTCACCCTTGTCGTTGTTGGGATGTGCCACATTTGCCACAATGCTTGTGAAGAATTGTGCGTGCAAATGCCATGTCGGGGCAAGTTGGTTGATCAAGTGCGACCGCTTGCGTCATTTTTGCACAGCCGCTCTTCTCGCCAAAGGCTGGAAGAAAAGTGTCTAAGGGACAGCTCAGAAGCAAACAAAGTTTTCAAGACCCAGCTGCAAGGCAAATTTCATTCCCTCTATACTGCTCGATGGGGCTCCATGACCACTGTTTTGGAGGAGATTTTGTCTGTGCGCACGTTGTTCCTGACAGCTTGGGACCCAAAAGCGTATTGTGACGGGACTTCAGAAAGTGACGCATTAAAGGCACAGTTGGCTGCAATTTCAGAAGCTGTTGGAGAGCCTCTTTTTTGGGCCAGATGTCACATGTTGTTGCATCTTGCGGCTGCAATGGAGCATTTTTCAAAATGGTGTGAGGGCTGCCCATGTCACTCTCTACCGCCAACTTCGAGCCGCTGGAAAAGACAACGCTTCTTCATGAAAGAAGCTGGGCATTCTTTCTCTGATGGGAGTTTGGAGGCATGTGCATTGAAAGGGGCTAGAGCAGCAGAGTTAGCTTGTGGGGACCACAAGGTTTTGCTAGCGAACCTCCTTGAACAAGGTTGCCTGGACATGCTGGAGAGTTTGCCTGTGGCGCTGGTCCCCGAGGAGTGGGCGCTTCTTGAAACAATGGGTTGAAACACGGTCGAACCCTTATATACTAATTTGACAAACAGAAAGATTCTTTAATGTTTCATTGTTTGTGGTATGGGGTGGGGCCAAGCTGAGTGGCGTGCGGTGGGACGTGCGGTGGCGTGCGGTGGCGCACGGTGGTGTTCGGTGGCGATCGGTTGGCAAACCACTTCCTTGCGAGGACCGAGATTCATTGATGCACGACTGGAGGATTGGCAAGGCTGTCTTGGAGCAGGAGATTGAACGAAAAACTGCTTTTTGGGACATTATTCCCCACAAGCTTGCAGGGCTCCTGCACACTGACCATTCCAAAGCGTGCGCAGCAGCTGTGGCTTGCGTTGACCAGTTTGACAAGAGCGCAGAGCAGTGGCATCACCGTGTCAGCAAGGTTTTCTTATTGCCAGAAACACCACTGAGATCAGCCGTGGAAGCAATGCGGAGTGGGGCAAATTTGTTTGACCTTGACCCCTTCATCCAAGTGGCGCTTCTCCGGTTTGCAGGTGTCAGCGTGGTAGAACGGTCCGTCGAGTCGAAGCATGCCCCTGCGAAAAGATATTTTTCCAGGGCGTCACGGTTTTCAGGCGCCACCGTTTCTTTGAACTTGCGGCTGCCTGAAATCAACCGCAGGATGGCAAGAGACCCAAATGTTTTTCGTGCACTAACCAGGCTGCTCAGATTCCATGAGTGCAATTCTATGCGAGATTTGTTTTCCTTGGTGCACTTGATTGGATTGAGCGGGCACCCGGCTGTGCAAGAGAGCGTTGGCCAGATCAAACAGAAGCTGGCGGTGCTGATCACATACCACATGGATGTTCAATCGATGCTTCGATTGCCAGATGTGTATGCCACAGTCATTCGGCTTGACGCTCAAAGTCGCAAGAAATGTTTGGAGGAGGCCAAGTCTGCCGCGAAGAGACTCGGTCATGCCGCTTTGCCAGCGATGAACGCTGAGGATTCCATGAAGTCTTTTTTGTTGCGGGGCCATTGCGAGGCACTGGCGCCCGAGTTGAAAGGCAACTTGTTTTTTTCTTTAAAGGAGAAGCCATTCAGCAAAGAGGCTTTGATGCCCTTGTCGGATCTCCAAGGGCTCTTGCAAATTACCTCAGATGACACACCAGCTCTGCTCCCTCCAAATCCTGCGCTTAGTGCCATCTCGTACCACCCAGACTCTGACATAGAAATAGAAACTGCCACACCGCCTCTGGATTCGAGTGGTCCTAGACATGAAGTTCAACTTACTTGGGGCGCAGTGAGGCCTTTTGCTCCCGTTTTTTACCAAATTGTGAAAGCAAACCCATCGCGGTCTGAGATTTTGCATATGGCGCCAAATGCCAAGCAGCTCACAGCTTCGCACCAGATCGTTCAACTGCACTTGCAGCTGGAGCACAGCGAGCGGTGGAAGAGCAACCGCGAAATCTTGGTGGCTGTTGACCCTGTAAAGCCAAGTGTGGAGAAAACGGGTTTCCACAGTTTCGGTTTAGATCTTCAGCGGGTCGACGACGACATGCTGCTCTCAGGTTGGTTTTGCTGGGATATCCTTCCACAGCATGAGTTCATTTTGCTGGATACTCTGGATTTGCCAGACTTGCAAGGTAAAGATTTGTGCAAGTTCGCCCCTGGCGATTCAACCCCGCAGGCAATGGGCCTCATTCGGCCCATGGTGAATGCTCAAGCATTTGCAAAGACAGAAAACGTGTTTGTGATTGGTTCTAGGGGGTCTTCTCAATGGGATGACTTGCAGCGGGCATATTTGGAAACGCTAAAAGCCAAAGGTTTTGTGATAGCAATGGACGATCAGGAACTGTCATGGCAATTGACTGAGTCAGGTCGCAGGCGTATCCACGCGTGCTCTGTTTTAACCAACAAGCGAAGTGTGGGACATGCTCGCAGCCCCCCTGGCAGCAAATTTGATTGGACACTTCACGAGATGGTTTCAAATTTGGAGGGGGCAGGTTGGAATGTGGTTCGGGAGCGTCAGAAGGAGAGCGCCCGGCGCGCCCTTACACTGAGTCAAGATCTTTGGGCTGAAGGCCCAGCTGACCAGAAACGGATCTACTTTGAGAAGTCGCTCGGGAAGAAGTATTTGCTTGTTTTGCTCCACTTGAAAGAGCTTTTCGCAGTCGGCGTGACAGAGGTCTTTCATGGACAGCCAGCAGGTTACTATTCTCGGTTTTTCGACAACAAGGGGTCTCCCAAGAAACCAGCTGAGCAAGCTGAGGAAGGGGCGGACTCCATAATGGATATTGAGTTGGAGGTAGTGGAAGCGGATCCGCCCAAGATCCCTCCAAGGCGTGGCAAACGTGCCAGGGTTGCTCGTGAAGACGCTGGCGCGTTGCCCCCACTACCCCCAGATCCTTTAACATCCATTGTTCTCCCTCCTTCATCTGCCACCCAAACCCGTAGGAGACAAGCAGAAATTGCGCCTGCGCTTGCGGATGAGGACCATGAGGGAGACAATGACGTGATCATGGAAAGTATTCTTGCCCATTTTGAATTTGCAGATGAAAACCCAGACAATCCCAGCCAGGCCCTTCTTCATCTGCTGTTGTCGAAGCCACAAGTCATTCGGCGGGCGGCGGGGGGGAAGTAGCAGAACCAGTGCTAGAGTTGCCAGAGGCAGAGGAGTCGAACGTAGAGGCAGCTAGTTCTTCTAAGGCGGCGCGTCCCCCCCGAAGCGCAGCTGCTGATGTTGTTGGTTTCTGGTTCGATGACCCTGTGACTGAACAAGCCCACAAGTTTACTTTCAAAGCCAGTTCAAAATCTTGGCAAGTCAGATGTAGCTACCATGATGCGAAAGTCAACCCAAGTGGCAGCAAGACGCATTGCACAAGAACTATGCCGGTGCCGGCCGGAGAAAACCAAGAGGTTGTTTTGGAGCAACTAAAAAAGTGGGTGGCAGCAGCGCCTCAGCATGCGAGCAAGGCCTCTCACCAGGCAATGTTTTTTCGAGCTGAACCTGACATGCCCCCCCCCTAAAGCACAGCGAAAGTCAAAGCCAAAGCCAAAGCCTTCCAGCGTTCCCCCTGTGACGCAACAAGGCAGTTCTTCTAGCTCAACCACTTCCAAAGATTCTAGTTCAAGCTCAAATAGCAGCAGTTCCAGCTCTGAATCATCTACATAGTTCTCTTGCAGTGCCAGTGCCAGTGCGTCAGTGCCTTTCGAGGTGCCAGGCAGGTTTGGCGTTCAAACAGTGCTGCTGTCAGTCAAAAGGTGCTTTGTGGAAGGGGTGAGTCACTTGTAGAATTTAATAAATGGACTTTTACACGTTGTGGACAGAAAGTCTATCAATTCTGTTCTGTAGTTGGCTGTTTTCTTGAGTTGACTGTTTTTCATTTTTGTGCACGATGGCTCGAACACTGAACTCAGCAACGCACACGCGCACACCTACAGACTGACAATGTTTGCTTGGTTGGTTTGCGCAGGCAGCGTTTTCCTTGGATGTGCTGTGGGGCTTTGCTGCTTGTGTAGCTTGCGCCCTTCCTATGGCCCAGGGTCCTCATCCCTTCGTGTTGCTGCTGAGCGTTGTATGTCGAAGGCGAAACTTTGGCTGTGGACACTAAGGGTTTGCAAGTGGGCATGGCCGTGCCCATCCTCTTGGCGGAGCTGTGCAAGACAAGCGTTTTGCAGTAACGAAGTTGCTGCGGTTGGTGCTTTCACCCTCTTGGAGCACAACAGGACCGATTTGCACACAAACCAACGCAAACACTCAACAAAGAGTTAAAAAGGTACTGTTTGTGCAAGGCAGGCATGTTTTTGACTGAAAACTTGTACAGTAACATTGTCATTGCCCATTCTCACTCTCCTTGAGCACTTTCTGAATCATGTGAGTTTTTTGTGTGGTTTTCATTGAAAACCATCAAAAATCTATGCCCACCGCACGCCACCGCACGCCACCGCACGTCCCACCGCACGTCCCACCGCACGTCCCACCGCACGT